TTCTCAAAATTTCAAAGTAAACGCGTTTTCCATTTTCATGTTTTCAGAAACAGTTTTTCAAAATGACAAACAGAACGCATTTTCAGAAATTTCAAAACAGACACTCAAAACACAAAACACAAAACGATTTCAAAACTCAAAACAGAAAACTGAAACTCAAAGAGAACGGCCCCTAAGCCTTTATTGAAGAGTATAATGGTGAAGGTATGAGGAAATTCAAAATATAAGCAAAGCATGTCACCTAATCAAACAGCTTCACAGAAAACTTTTTGATTAAATTTAATGGATAGGCTACATATGTGAATCCAAAATGCAGTACAAATTTACGAGATTCCAACTTGTAGAGAGAGAACTAAATACCTGACAGATACAATGTTCGTGCAAGGCTTCCAGTTTATGAGGTATTAGGTGGTCTCTGAAGTCCCCATGTCCTAGTTGACCATATTTGCTCCATCCGTAAGTATACACACTGCCTGAGGACGAGACAGATATTGTATGCCGCCATCCACAGGCCACTAGAATTATCTTTTCTCCCTGTAATTTCGAGTTATCATGAGTTAGAGCAGAGGCGAAAAAACGGAAGTCAAAAAAAAAAAAAATCTAAACATGAAAATCCATTAGTCCATAATCCATGGCTTTTCTTTTACATAATAATCTTCAAGATATTATGTAAAACAGTGACACTTTTGAGGGAAATTTCAGTTTCCTTCTTATTTTTTCGATATGTAAAAAACCTGGATAACATGGACAAGCCAAAAATTTGAGAATTAATTAATGGAACGGATTTGTCTCTCACTAAATTAATAAGCTAGCATGACATGAATACATTCAAGACAGATCCAACCCAGAGTTAAAACTATCTGATTTCACTTTCAACTTCTGCATATTTGTACCTTTAAAACATAGAGACAACCCCATGTATTGCATCGGGATCGCCTTTTACGTGCAGCTGGTACAATAATTACTAATTAGTAGACCAAAGAGACAGTATTTAACTGCTCAAAACTGCTAACACACCTCAACAGATGAAACTTTCTCAGGGATTAAGCGGTCATTCCTATCGCCCAAGCCAAGATTACCATATCGACCCCAGCCCCAACCATAAAGATCACCATCTTCTGTTACAGCAGCTGTATGTTCAGCTCCAGCAGCAATCATTTTGATGGATACTCCCTACGAAAGGGCAAGAGGTGTATTATATCTCACATGAATTGGTGAAATTTCTTGAATTGATAAGTTTGTCATTTAGCCATTATAAATATGTCAATCAAATTGACAAGAGAAACAATTTCTTTCTTCCTCTAACTCATAAGCAAATGCTATTATTAGTATATTTGGTACATCTGCAGTGAGGACTGACAAATATATATTCATTTATGTAATTCTTTAAATAATATTATCAACAATTAAAACAGTATAGGTCTTAGAAATGGAGGCATTTCTTTCTCTTGAGTAAAGTTATGGCACCTTTGTACGTAAATGAGAGAAAGAAAGTAGTGATATGAAAATTCTATATTAAAAACTACAGTACCTGAAAAGCTTCTATTTTCTGAGGCAATAGAGAATCCTCTGTTGTCCCTAGCCCAAGTTGGCCATTTTGGTTCCGGCCCCAACTTCAATTCAAAAGAAGTTAAAAATTCCATAAGAATGTTAAGTAGATGTGATGACCATATAATCTAAAATTCAACAAAATTCATAAGTGAGTTAAACACTTAATGTTACTGGACTGGCAATATCCAACACTTTTATGCTTGAAATGATTAAATACTTAATGTTACTGGACTGGCAATATCCAACATTTTTATGCTTGAAATGATTTTAACTGGGGTCTAGCTTGCACATAGGAAATTGACAGTGAACAAAACATTGAGGCTCAGAATAAAAAGCATGTCATGGTTGCTTTGTGCAATTTACAAAATTTATAATCACGGTTGTATAGGGAAAGTGAGGCACATGCTTAGACGAGCAAGAAAATTATCCAGATAATGACGCTCTTGTTTTATAATAAATCTGTAGCAAGGAAGTGCACCTTTGTAAAGAGAACATAAAGAAAAAGGTTAGGATGCGACCAACCTCAGCACCTCTCCTTTCATTGTCACTGCCAAACAATGGCTGTCCCCACAAGCAATTTGCTTTATCTGTAGACTTTGTAATGATTTGATTGGTTGAGGAGAAAACAAGTCGCTGGAGTTTCCATGACCCAACCTTCCGAAATCACCCCTGAATTGTTCATATAGTGACAATTGTTAGTAACTTTAGAGACATTTGAGACCTGAAAATTCATCGGTCGAAAGAATCACATCCCAAATGAGTCATTCAGGTTAAACTAATCTGGTGGATCTAAGGTTAAAAATGGTGGAAGATTGTAAATTATCAAAATATTTCATTTTGGCAGCAATCTAATCTCATGTAAACATGATAATATTTTATCGTTCAGATGTCATAGAAAATTAAGAATTCTAGTTTGTTTCAATTCAAAGAATAGGAAGGATATAGATAGAAATTGGTATTTTCAACAAGGAGAATTTAAATTACAGCAGCCATCTTATAGTGGACAGTAACCACCTTACTAGAAAGAAAAATCAATTAACCTCAAGTCTGGCTAGTACAATGGTTTTCACTTAAGCTTAAAGCTTGTCGCCTTTAAAAGTGAAAAAAGCTTAAAGCTTGCCAGGTGACTATTAATAATACAGTAATCTCAAAAACTCCACAGTCGATCATAAAATATTATCAAAACAACGAAGTTTAGCTAACTGGCAATTTATAAAGATGAAAACAACAGGACAAGAGTGATAAAATTAATTAATGGTGACATATTTAATTCAAGAGAATATTATCTGAAAATCAGTTAACTAATTCATGGTTTTTGTGTGATATTATGCGGGAAAAAGCAGGTCATCCCCAGTGGCATTTGTAAATTGCTCATCCCCTCTGAGCATTTGGGTCATGCAATATGAACCCAAGTGTTAGGAATATTGGGCCTAACCCCACCTAATAAAACCGGCTTATTAGAGGAGGATTGCCCTCACCTTATTAAGTGGATCATTTATATTTTCCCAAATAATGTGGGATTCTAATACGCCCCCTCACGCACAACGTGGACCATGCCAAACAACTGTGAACAAATTGATATTGAGNAACTGTGAATAAATCGATATTGGGTGGCACCCAACATTGCATAATTGGGTCTAGCTCTAATACCATGTTAGGAATATTGGGCCTAACTCCACCTAATAAAACCGGCTTATTAGAGGAGGATTGCCCTCACCTTATTAAGTGAATTATTTATATTTTCCCAAGTAATGTGGGATTCTAATACCAAGCCAAATTAGCTGGCTCAACTTAACTTGAATTTAGATAAAATTTAAACATTTGGCTCAAAGTTGGCTTATTACTTCAAACTAATACCAAACACTTCTCTAAAATTAGTAACCTCAGCCTGTGAACTATTTGGCAGAGTAATAAATGTGAATTTTGGTAGCAGAACACCTAGTTACATACCATCCCCAGCTATACACTTGCGATTGTGACTCTGAGTATGCAGTCGTATGGTCAGCTCCACAAGCGACAGATACTATTTCAAGGCCATCCAATGCGCTCAATTTAGTAGGAGTAAATCTATCATCAGCATCCCCATGGCCTAACTGTCCGTCCTCTCCCCTTCCCCAAGAGCAAACAACATTCCCAGCTGTGAGTAATAAACGAAACAATTATCCATATTGCATGCAAATCTTTTTTTGCAATTTAAATTGAATGATTCAAAGCAACTATGACAATGAACTAGGAACCACAAATCAAATTTGATCAACAAGTTTAAAGTTAAAATACTTGATTATCACTCTTATCAGAAGAACAAAATCTGTAATACTCATATGCTAAACTTGTTATGAAAAAATCAGAGTTTTTCCCTTTCCTGTGCACAGAAAGTCATAATTTTAGTTTAATTAAGTGGTAGCCAATTCATAACATGGAATCGTTATCAATGTTTTTATGCAGCCCATTTATTCCACAAAACTCCACATATTTCAACCACTATAAGAATTTTAATCTTACTAAATCAAAAAGTCCTATCAGCGTTATCTTTCGCCAATTATTTGTACAAATATATGGAAGAGCTAAGCTTGGTTTTCATTTTCTGTTTGGTAGATAATGCAGAGGAAGCCTCTGCAGGTTTTGGGTCTGCGGGTTTATCTGACTATCGGGGCTTATTTATACTGCAAGATATCACTACAAAAGAAATAAAAAAATCAGCAACTTCTCTCTTATCTCCTTGTAATAAACACGTCTTTTCAAATCTGCAATACAAATTCTAGAACTTTCGGAAGGCTTGTAACAACTATGGCATTAGGAGACACCTTGTTTAGTTGTGTGCGGGACAACTTAAAGCTTATGAGACACAATTTCAATGAAAAATTGCAAAGAAGAAGGGTGTACGTCAGAACGCGTGGACAATTTAGGGTGCCAAGATGCGATAAAGGGACTCATAATAGGCAAATAATATATCATTAGAAAGCTTGTCAAGTCAGGATTCCAATTTATTTTACAGATCTCAATTTTTGGATTTTTATACAAAAAGTTAGGCGCATTTTTCTTCGGACTGTCAGTTGTCATGCTTAAGCTCAAACGTGCGAGTGGGCCAAGCACAAACTGCAAGCGGGACAAGTTCTGCATAAGCTTTCCCGTGCGAGTGTTACGAGCCAAATATGAACTTGCAAGAGCGAGCAACCATATCTTGTGTGTGAGACGTCTGTCCTAGTGGTGTGCTCCTCTTACTAGTTACTGGAGTTTCCACATTATATTGTAAGTTTCATTGCCTTCTCTGACCACCATTGGTGATTGAGCTACTAGTTTTGTTCGAAACATTATATGGAAGCCATTATGTGGGCTTATTGGGCTTGTTTGGTGGTTGTCTTTAACACCCCTTTGGGCCTATGCTGTGACCCGGTTTGCTTGTTTGTCTTTAAACTATTTGTGACTCTTGATTCAACCTACGGTTGAGATTGAA